TTCCCTACATCCCTGAGAAGCCACACAAGGGCTTTGCTGTTAGAGGGAAGATGGGTGCAGGTTGGCTCTGGGAATGTAGCTCCACTTCAACCCGCTGCCCGCAGGGGCCACCAGTGTCTGCATGTTTTGGCTGCTCAGGGCCATACTTGTGAGCAGGGGATGGGGTTGGCTGGTGGGCTTGAGGGTGTCCCCAAGCTAGGAGAAAGCACCTGCAGAACAGGATCTATCAGTCATTCCCAGAGATGCTGGGTTCCCACCAGAGGTGCCCTGCACCTGTGGCCTCTGCGCAGGTAGGATGGAGCATTGGAGAGTGTGAGCCCTGAAAAACCTCCACCCGAGGAGGAGAACATCTCAGCCTTGTCCCAGCTGGGACATCTCTTGGTAGTGGCCCCAGATGGAGCGTTCCCAGGCTTGAGCAGCCCTGGATGACCCGTCCCTGAGCGGTGTCTCTGGGCTCTGTCCCGCAGCGCGGAGCAGCCATGGAGGGGATGCAGCAGGTCGTGAGCCGGGCCAGAGCCGCCTTCACCTCGGGCCGGAGCCGCTCGCTGGAGTTCAGGCTGCAGCAGCTGAAGGCCCTGGAGCGGATGGTGCAGGAGAAGGAGCAGGAGATCCAGGCAGCCCTGCAGGCGGATCTGCACAAGGTGTGGGTTGGCAGGGGGTTGCTGCCATCAGGCGTGGGGACAGCCCTGCGGGGAGCAGGGAGGCCGAGGGCTGCCTTTGGGGTGCCAGGTGGTTGTTGCTGATGTCCCCGGTGGTCCTGCATGACTTTTCCCTCACTGGGTGCAGGAGGTGGGTGCCTTCACCATCCCCTCTACAAGCTCCCTGTCATTGCAGAGCAGGATCAATGTGTATACCCAAGAGATCCTGGTCTTACTAATGGAGCTGACCATGGCCATGAACAACCTGCTGTCATGGACGGCCCCTCAACCTGTGCAGAGGAGTGTGGTGACAATGTGGGACAAGACCTACATCCACCCTGAGCCCCTGGGGGTGGTGCTGATCATCGGGGCCTGGAACTTCCCCTTTCTCCTTGTCATGCAGCCTTTGGTCGGGGCCATCGCAGCAGGTGGGGACCCTCTGGAGCCCTTGTCCTCCGTGGGGCTGTAGGTGCTGCAAGAGGCAGGGAGAGGTATGTGAGTGCTGAGGGGCTGTGCTGGGATTGTCTTGCAGGCAACGCTGTGGTGGTGAAGCCGTCGGAGGTGAGTGAGCACACGGCTCGGCTGGTGGCTGAGATCCTGCCCCAGTACCTCGACCCGGTGAGTGGGGCTCCCCAGTTGTCTCTGCATTGCAGAGATGTGCTGGGCTGGGGTAACCCTGATACCCTTGCTCTCCACACACCCCCCCAGGAGCTGTACCCCGTGGTGACTGGAGGAGTCCCTGAGACAACAGCACTGCTGGCCCAGAGGTTTGATCACATCCTCTACACCGGCAACTCCGCCGTGGGCAAAATCGTGATGGCAGCGGCCGCCAAGCACCTGACGCCCGTCACCCTGGAGCTGGGTGGGAAGAGCCCCTGCTACATCGACAAGGACTGTGACCTGGCTGTGGCCTGCAGGTCAGGCTGCTGAAGCCCTGGCTGGGCCATTGTCCCCAGAGTGACTCAGGCAGGGCCAGGCAGGCTGTGGTGTTTGGAAGGGCCTGACTGAAGAATCCATCTCCCTTTCCCTCCTAGGAGGATAACATGGGGGAAGTACATGAACTGTGGGCAAACCTGCATTGCCCCAGACTACATCCTCTGTGACCCGTCCATCCAGAGCAAGGTGGTGGAGAACATCAAGGCGACTCTGCAGGTGAGGCTGGAGGTGCTTGTGCCGTGGGAGTTGTCCCTGTTACAGCCCAGGTGTGAGTTTGTGCTGCTGCAGCCTGGGAGCTGTGCTGGGCCGTTGTGCTGGTGTGGTGAGGTGTTTGTTTCTGCTGTGCCCTTTGGCAGGAGTTCTATGGGGAAGATGTGAAGTCATCTCCAGATTATGAAAGGATCATCAACAAGCGCCACTTCAAAAGGATCCTGGGCCTGCTGGAAGGGCAGAAGGTCGCTCACGGAGGGGAGGTTGATGAGGCCTCCTGCTTCATAGGTGCTTCTGGCCGGTGTTGTGGAGGGAGGTGGCAGTGGGTGCTTTGGGGCTGTTTGGGTGTGTGTTGCCCACACCTGGGCCGTGCCCAGGACAAGGTTGTGTGGTGGCCCATGTCTTGTGTCGTGCTCATGCCATCTCCTTCTGTCCTGTTTGCCTCAGCCCCAACTATCCTCACCAACGTATCTCCAGCATCCAAGGTGATGGAGGAGGAAATCTTTGGGCCAGTCCTTCCCATTGTGCCCGTGAAGAGCGTGGAGGAAGCCATTGAGTTCATCAACGGTCGCGAGAAGCCCCTTGCCCTGTACGTCTTCTCCAACAACAAGCAGGTGTGTCTGGGCTGTGCTCCCCCGTCTGCAGTTTGATCCCAAAGGTGCCCAGTCCCAGGCACAGCTCCCTTGGGGAGCCCTCCCCATGGGGACCCCGAGTGTCCCCAGAGCTGCTGGAGACTCCAGTCTCCCTCTGAAGGTCTCTGAGCTTGCCCAACTCCCCATGTGCCTCAGCTGGCCACTGCCCATGCTGGGGAGTGTTTGTTCTTTGAACATCTCTTGCTCCAGGCTCTGTTGTGCCAGGTCAGCGATTTAGGTGAGGGTTTGCCCTGACACAACAGCTCTGTGCAGCTGGGGTGGGAGGGCTGAGGAGCACCCCAGGCCCTGGCCCATGCACGGCCACCTCTGACCTGTCCACTGAGATGCAGCGTTTTCATTCCATGGCCGTTCCAGCTGGGCAGACCTTGTGTATAAGTAATGTCAACCTGACCTCTGTCAAGGGACAAGGCTCTGCCTGTTCCCCCACAAAGGGGAATGCAAGTGCCACCTTGACTCACCTGCTCTGCTAAATGCCATGTGTTGGTGGCCCCTCTTGATTTCCCTCTGTTCTGTGCCATCTCTCCTTCTGGGTAGCTGATCAGACGGGTGATATCAGAGACCTCCAGTGGCACCATGGTAGCCAACGACGTCTTCGTGCAGTTTCTGGCTCTGGGGCTGCCCTTTGGTGGTGTGGGTAAGTCCCCACGTCATCTCATACGCATGGTTTCAGCCTCCTAGCAGCAGCCTCTGACCCAGCTGCTGTTCTCCCCATTGGGCAATTCAAGGACATTCAGCTGCATTTTCCCTTCAGATTATTTTCACTGACAGGTCGTTGCAAAATGACTGTTTAGTGGTGGGAGCAGTTTTAGTGCCAGTGGGTGAAGGAAACCCTCTGGCACATCTGTCTTCAGCTCTGGTTCTCCTGTGTCAGGGTGTGGGATGAAGTTGCCTATGTCCAGGTGGCTGGTTGAGTTTCCACAGTCACTGTCAGACTGGTGGCTTTGTGACAGAGACAACCTGGCTGTGGGTAGAGGTCTTGGGAGTTTCTGTTGGCAGGTTGCTGATGTCCTACTGCTTGAAATAATGGATCTTGTTCCTCCTGTCCCTTACCCCTGTGTAAATTTTGTGGGAGAAGCAGGACTGGCCGTGGGGAGGAGAGGGCTGGTGCTGTTAGCTTCTCAAGGGTGTGTGTGGGCAGCCTGAGCACCAGCTCAAGGCACTGAGCAGGTCCTTGCTTATTTCTCTGTTGTTAAAGTTGCTCTTTGCTTCTCTGCCCTCGGGAGCAGAGCAGCTGCTCCAGGTGTGAGGAGCACCATGACCAAGCTTTTCCAGTGTCTTGGGAGCTGCCAGAGTGCAAGAAATCCAGTTGTTCCCCATGCCGGGTGTGAGCTGGGTGGGTTGTGTCCCTCAGGTAACAGCGGGATGGGCGCCTACCACGGCAAGCACAGCTTTGAGACCTTCTCCCACCGCCGCTCCTGCTTGATCAAGAACCTGAAGATGGAGATCATGAACCAATTCCGGTACCCACCCCTAAACCAGAGGAAGGTGGATTGGACCAAGTTCTTCCTCTTGAAGCCATTTAACAAGGGCCAACCAAGACTGCTCATCCTGTCCCTGCTGGGGATTGTGGTAGCAGTGGTGGCAAAGGTGATCATGGGATCTTGGCTGTCTGCATGAGGGCATGTTCCCAGCTCTGTCCCCCAGCTCCACCTGGTCTCAGCCTCCATCATCCCTTTGCCTCGGGCTCTACCTGTGGGACTCAGCCTTGTTTCTGGGCCTCTCCAGGTGGTGTCCCCCTGATGGGAGAGGGTGGGACCCCCCTCTAATGCAGAGAAACCCCCAGCTG